GTACATGCACCAACGGATGCTAATTTCCCTTGCTTTGGTCTGTTTGGCTTGAAAATACATCTCCGGGGCAAAAAAACAAGGGTATTTCCTCTTTAGTCCCATTTCCCCCTTTTACTTTGACTTTTGCAGAGAGATGTGATTGCAGAATTTTGGTTGAAAGGAATCTTAAAGAAAACTACACAATGCTCTGCAGCAGAATAACCTTAGAGATCATCCAGTTCAGCTCTCTCACATTTTAGGCCTCAAAATAGAGATTCCTCAGTCACAGGTAAAGTAATTCCAGGACTAGAATGGCAGGATGCGGATGGCATGGGCCAGAAGTCTTAACCCAGGTCCTCTGATCTAGTCCAGAGAAAGGACAATTTCAGTTTCTTCCTAGTTCTAAAACGAAATGTACTGATGATTCTCAGCATCATACTTTGGTTGTGCTATGTGACATAGGTCATGCTACTTAACTTCTATAAGCATCAGTTTCCTAAAAAAAAAATTAAAATTAAAATAAAAAAAAACAGAAGTATTGCAAGGATTGAATAAGATGATGTATGTAAACCATTCAACACAAACATGATGGAGTTCAATAAAGAATAGCTATTAAATTTTGATGACCATAATTTAACAGACTAATAAATTGAAGGAATTTCTGGCAGAAGAAAGAATTAGTGTTTATTAAATTCTTCCTATGGAAAAGATGCTGACTTTTGGAAAAGACAGAGACTGAAGATTCTAAGGAGGCACCAGCATTCCTACTTCCTAACTGCAGAGCCTGAGAATAATTCCTTTAGAAGAGTGCCTCGGGTACCTGCCAGAGTTGAGAACTCAACGCGCTTCAGCTGAGAAAGTTAAAATAAATGCAAACTAGAAAGGCACCCTATCTATCCCATCAGCATAAACAATGCACTCCAAGTTTTATAAAAATGAGCAAATGAAAAGTTAACCTGAGTTTATCCCCCAAAATGTCAGACACCAAATGTTTTGTAACCTTCTTATTCGTTGGTGGTTTTTCTTTCCCCACAGAGCAATTTCCAAAATGGGCAAAGAGCACAGTAGGTGGCTCTCTTTAATATTTCACAGGCAAGGCAACAGTGACTCAACAGAACCTACATCTGTGTCTCCAGCAAAAGCCCAATGAAGTTGAGCAACAAATGAAACTGTATGTACACTGGAGATAACCTCTCTTTCCCCCTGTCTCCTCCTCCAATTTCCTCCAGTCACATTCTGCTTTCCTAACAACACCAGGTAAGATGTACCTACTTCTTGGCAAAAGCAAATAAATAAATGTTCCCAAATGCCAAAAGCAAGGAACAAAACATTTCTCCCAGGACTGCATTTGCAAGCCTGTCTGCTTGCTATAACGGAGACAAACCTGATGACCTGTGAGGAGTCTCTATAGATAAATGGCCCCACTGCCTGGACCAGAAACAGAACAGCTCATCTTCCTACTGAAGTCTGTAGCCATAAGTTTCCGCAAGGAGGACTGAGATTCCAAACAAATGATTAACATCAACAGGAAAGAATGCTTTTTTTTTCAAATTTGCATATTGTTCTCTCTATTCCACTCTTTATCCATGGAATTTGTGAAAGAGCTGAATGATGCTATGGCCATGCATGGCATTTGTTTCTCAATACCAGTCTTTGAACTATTACAGGATTGCAGAGGGAAGAAACCACCCAGGACAGGAAGAAAAATCAGACATCATTCTGAACTTTATGTATTCATAGTAATCCTTCCTCCTAAGAGTTGAAGGGGCATCACATCAAACAAATGAAAATGAGAAAGTTGCTTTAGAGATCATCACTTTAAACTCTCTCTCCTGAGAGTCGGCTCCACTAAATTCTACAAAGTCATGTTGAAGGATTGTACTCTTAGCAAGGAAATATCTACTCTGTGACAAAAAAAGGATGCCCTGAAATCACCAGCCAGATAAGGTAACCTAACAATTAAAGTAAAGTACTCAAGATTGTGGGAAGCCATTCTCGCACGTGATTGGGCACCTCCCTGATTGGGTGTGAGGCGTTCTGGCCAAACTGTGTAGGAGCTAATCCCCACCCTCTCCAGGTTCGAGAGCCTGTTTGTGTGGGGGTGTGACTGACCATTGACATTGAGACCAATCACTAACCCTGACCTTGGAATGCTGCCCCCCTCAACCTTCATTGGATGGAATTTTCCCCTGAATTTCTTGTTCCCCAATAAAAGGCCACTCCCTGGAGTTCTGGTTCACCCCCCTCTCTCTCTCTCCTGCTAGTCCTGAGTAAGCCTTGCTGCCCCACCGGGTGGTTCTAGGCGAGAGCTAGAGGGGGAGCCGTCTCGGACCTGGTCATAGAAAAAGGTAATTGAGTCTGGTTGTTTATTTTGATCTCACTAGTTAACTTCTATGCTATGAACCTCTTGTATGAAACCAGCGTGCTGGCCGCGCGGTGGACAAGATCTCATTGGACATGTAGCAGGGTGTTATAGGAAAACTAGAAGCTAAAAAGTGAATTTCCCATCAAGGTGACCCATGGCAGCCTATCATTTTTGAGTCTCATTCCAGTTTTCAGTAAATGGAGACTAGCTAAGAAGAGGTGTCATTTAATGAGCACCTCATATTTGACATTATTTCACTGAATTTAATCTTCACATAAATTCTTAGAGTAAGCAATTTATCCAACTTTAGAGTTGGGTAAAATAGAAGCCCTAAATAGTAAAATAAGTTGCTAATATCACCCAGCTACTTTGGTACCACAGCTAGAATTTGAAATCAAGTAGGTTTTATCACAAAACATGGGTGCCTTGTCCTTAATATGCCTGCTGTGTCCTTCTCCAGGGCTATTGCAAATAACAAGGAAGGTAATATATGTGGAATGTACTTTGGAAATGTTAAAGTTCTATATATACATATGGTTTTGCTAGCAACAAATAATAATATGTATAAGGAGTAAGGATAACTGGATTTCCTTTCTTCAAAGAATCAGATCCAAAAGAAATTTGTTTTCAATCTCCCTTCCATCCCCTTCTTCTGACCTTATTTTGAACATCTTGCTTTTCCTCACAAGTCCCTGGTCTCTCAGGCACACATTCAGATGTATCCCCACCAGCTCATCACAATGCATGCACACGGAACAAGCTGACGGAAGCAAGAGATTCCATCCTCTGCAAATGTTTGGTGTGGGAGGTACCTGAGTGGGTACCACTGGACTCTTACCTTCTCTCAAGATGTACCACACCCATTCTCAGGTACTCATCAATACTGCATAGAAATATTTTGAACTGTGAAGGGCAACCAACTATAAATACCAAAGTCAGGGACTTATGACATGGCCTGTAGATAGAACTGAATTATTGTGTGAATCAAATAAAAACAACTGTCATGAGCAGGGTACAGATGTATGAAAGAAGCTATTTAATTTTAAAATAGCAATAATACAGGAAGACCAGTGTAGGCCTGTGTGTGTTTGTGTTTAAATAAAGCAAGTTAGTCTCTAAAAGAGAATGAATTTAGTAGCATCCCTGCACAAATATTAGCTGAATAACATAAAGTTGCTTGACTGATCTAAGAGAGCAGGAATAGAAGGCTTAGCACAGTCTATTACAGCTGTGACTTCCAACTTCCTCCTCTGGTCTTTTTTATCCCTCATTAAATTAAAGCCCCTCGTTGTCAATGAAAGATGCCTCAGATCAAGGCAGTTCACAGGCCTGAGCCTTGACCTAAAAACTAGTAGAAAATTCATATCACTAAGAAATATCAATTTTATATTCCACATCAAGCATCCATGATCCAAGTCACACGTGAAAGATGTACTTTAACAGAACTGTTCAAACTCCGAAGAAGAAAACATCACATTTCCATATTTAAAAAACAAAAAGTCACTTCAGTGTAATAAGAAAGCAGTCTCAAAACTCAATGTCTCCAGGATTATTATTCAAGAATATTTATAATAGTTATCATCAGTTTCAAACAGACCAGGTACCAGGTCAGCCACTGTGCTAAAAACAAAATGTAACTTGAATTGCCTGCCCCATTTCATCCTCCCAACTACCCTAAGGTGACCACTATAATCTCCATTTTGGTGAGTGGGGAAAAATAGTATTAGAAAGATGGACTAATTTACCCAAGTTCAGACAGCTAACACATGGCAGAACTGGAAACCAGGCAAATCCTCTTTTTACAGATGGTAACTAACCCTGGGATCTGACAGCAGAGCAGGAAAATGCTTCCCCTGGTGTCCTGGTTCACAATTGCACAACCAGGGATGAAGGAAAGACAGGTTGGGAATGGGATCTTTAAGGAAATAGCAGAAGTTTGTTTTTGTGGTTTTGATTTTTCTCTAACTCTAGCCTCCTGATTTCTTCCCAGTACTTCAAACTGGAAAGGGAGGGACGATATGGTTCCTTGAAGTCAGTTCCTTAAGGAGGGACATCTCATTCTCCACAAGGCCAACAGTTCCGCTCCCTGCCGGGACTGGGGAGAGAACTGGAAGTACCATAGGAGGTCACCAGCATCCAGCGTCCCTTCCCCTCTCCCGGCAACTTCGCCTGGAGCCTGTGGGACATCCTCAGCAGGAGCATCTTTTCGAGAAAGCAGGTCAGCAAAGGAGGGAGTGAGGCTGCTGGCAGCCTTTACCCACGCTGTCATAGCTCGGGGTTGAGAGCGACGTGACACTGAATGGGCATGCTGGGACACACAGCCTCCAGTGCTCATCGCTTACATTTGCGCGCTGGAGCAAGCAAGGCGCAGGAAGACCGGAGTAGATCCCGCAAAGGGCTGAGAATGGGCATAGAAACGCACGGATCCCACGATTGCGTTACTTAATCTCTACACAAGCAAAGATGGGGCTCTGAACTGCTGGGTTCGAATCCCCGCCACCGCACTGAGTGATCTACCTTGGCCCCTGCCTCGCCCTGGGTCTCAGTTTTCCCTTCTGTAAAACAGGAGGATTGAAGGAGACGATCTCTAAGAATCCATCTACCCTGAGTTTCTGCGGCAGAATGAAACCAGTCCTCACTGCAGCGCGAGACTCACCTTTCTTGGGAAGCTGAGCGGGCACAGCGAAAGGGGCGGAATGGGTGGAGGGTCTCCCTGCACTGATTCTCTCCGTGCTCGGGGCCAAAGCGAAGCCCAGGGGACCTGGATCCCGGCCGTCTTCCCCGATGAGCCTCTTACTTTCCGCCGCACTTTCTTTTTCCCCCTTCGGGGCTCCTCCCCCGGCGCCGCGCGATTGGCCGCGATATCGTGGATCAGGCTCCACCCGCCGCCTTGGCTCGCAATCCACCAGCGTTCAGGGCTTCCCGAGCCTGCGGCTTCTGGGCGGCACAGTGGGCCAGTCCCGCCCGCTGCGAGGAGGAGCAGCGCAGGGGTCCGCCTGCGGGCGGATGCGAGGCTGTGCTCCTTCCTAAGGCGCCCAGCCACTGCCTGGACTGTTCTGAGCGCGCGAGGAAAGGAGAGCCATCCTCCTGCAGCTCAGCCTGGCACGGTGCCCGGCGCTCCGGGAGGATTACGCCCACCCCCCGCCCCCCTGCGCACGCACATACACCATACACATAGGCGCAGATATGTGCTCTTTTAAAATTATGGTCTCACTGTTGAAGTCGGAGCAACCCTGACTTTTCTTCCCGTCTGTATGTATCTAACTGTTATGGAGCAAGGCCATGACAGTCTTTTTGAGAGCCCACCATGTGCCAAACACAGAGAGCAACAGGAAGAAACAGAAAAGCCATCTCGGCAGTCCAGAGCTCTTACTAGAACTGTGAAGAAGCAACCGATCATGACAGCAGAACTGCATCTGGATTGTCCACTGGTAAATAATCAGTGCCTAGGACATACCTGGAACAAAATACGCTCTCAGTGCATGTGTGCTGAATGAATGAGTGAAATAACTAATTGGTGACAGAACGAAATAATCCCAATAGAAAGATTTCATTCATTCTCATTTCTCCAGCTTTCAGCAAGAGACTTCAGCTGCAAAACACAAACACACACACACACACACGCACACACACACACACACACACACGAACTCGGGATGGGAGTTGTAAAGGTGGACCCAGCACTGACCCAACTAAACTATTTCCTTCTCTGACTTCATTTTGCATCTTTGCTTTCTCTCCTGAGGTCTCCTGAGTCATTTTCTCCTGCAGTTACCTTGGATTCTAACAGGTCTGGTTGATAAACATCTCCATAACCAGAGACACAAAAAACTATCCCCAAGCAACAGCAAGCCTTTCAGGAAGATTACACCATGATAAGGTCCCCCCCAAAACTGGCTCATGATGAAATTGTCCCCCTAAGCAGGAGCAATCTTCTCTGATGGGAACAGAATTGTCCCCTCATCCAATAAAACTTCTCTGAGTTTGGAGAACTCCTCCTGAGATAAGGATCAATCAGATCATCACCTGTTTAAAATCCTCTGCATTGTTGGCTATGCAAACCTGCCAACCTTTGCCTTCTTGCCCATTTCTATAAAACCTCAAAGTTCTTTGTCATCCCCTTTAAGACAGTTCTTAGGTCACTTGACCAAAGTGTGGCTTCTCAGTGTGGCTATACTGATTAAAGCTCTTTCCTGCCTTCACACTGCATGTGTCTTTCTTTGGCATCTTGGGACAGGTGGCTAAATCTAGTCCATTAGAACCCCCAAAACCTGAGCCTTTTCCCTAAAATTCTGGTAACATTTGTACAATCATCCTGAGAAGCTTCATAATAGCTGTCATTAAGTCAACTCTCTTATTTAAGAACCTTCTGTTGTTACCTTTGATAGTCCAATAGGATTTCATCCTGACTGGCCTGCCCTTCCAACTCTACCCCCATTCTCTGAACAAGGCATCTGCCAAACTGACTTGTCTCTTCACAAATGCCTTGCTCCTCACATCCTCGAGTTTCTCCCAGCCCTCCACTCCTAGAGCTACCTAATTGAAACATATTAATTTATTTATTATGGAACTTGAAGTCCAGAGAAAGCAATTAAGGAGAAGAAAAGGGATGTAAAAGAAGAAAAGGGCCTAGGTGAGTGCAGGTGAAAGGGGAGCTAGTAGATGCCAGTCTTGCTAAAGGCGCAGGTTCTGCCCCTGCCCTGGTGAAGCTTAACTCCCATAATGTAATCAAAACTATAGAAATATCATGTTATTTAACTTACCCATATCACCTAGGAAAATTCAGCCCAAGAAATTATTATTTATCTTTGGCTATAGGGTACATGGTACATGCTCATCACACTGTTTCTGATCAAAAGAGGAAATACTCCAAAAACATTCAAAAAGTTACCTGTGTAAAACAAAAATAAATTCTTCAATGATTTATGATTCATTCATGAAGCATATCTCAGGCACCAATTTTTGTGTCTCATGTAGCACACGTACACAGAGTCTATCAAGTAGTAGGCACGATCATGAAAACTTTCCACATTCTCACTTAACCCTCATAGCAACATGTAGGCTACTATTATTATCTTCACTTTATAGATGAAATAGAGAGAAGGTAAATAAATTGTCCAAGGCTACAAGCCTACCAGTGGAGAAGTCTAAATGAGACCTCAAGTGGTCAGCATTCATGCTCTTAGACACTTCTCTACGACCTTTGTGCTACCTATAAAACAGGCAGATGATGGGAGTTCAAAATCGAATCAGAAGTAGTTCTGGACTTTGAGAGTCTACTTATAGTTTACTGAAAACAAAAGACATATAGATAAATAATGACAGTATATTGTAATTTTAAGACTGTATAAATGATGGGAATGAAAATGATTAGTTAACCAGTTTTCTGTTAAAATTTTCATATTATGGAAATGTATCTATCAAGATAAAGGCTTACAATATAATAATGTTGAGTAAAAGTTATGAAGACATATGGCTAGCAGTTGAAAGAAATGTGAAAAAAATGTTGATGCATTAGAATTATGAAAATATAGTAATAGTTTTATCTTTTAAATTTGTTGTAATATCAAAATACTACTAAAACAATTAACAACTTAAAATGTTTAAAAGTATCTGTCACATAACAGGCATTCAAAAAATAATTATTTCATGAATAAATAAATGAATGAAACTGCAAATTCATTGCTATCCAGTACCTAACAGTACTGGGTGTGTAGGAGACACTTGATAAAACTTGTTTGCAATTGAGCAATGTATTTGAGAAAAGCATTATTTTTTTCTTTCTTCCCTCTGATATCACCCCCATTTTTTGGCACTTAGGTATCTTTATAAGTTTTGCTAGCTCTTTGAACCCTATCCAATCAAACTTTTTGTCACTAACACTTGATAATCACAGTTTATAATGACTTCCACTTTTACAAATTCACTGGTCAATTTTCAGTCATCATTTTACTTGACCTATTAGCAGCTTCTACATAGTCAATCCATTAGTTCTTTCTGGAATGCTTGTTTTATGTCTATTTCTTCTGATACTTCTTATCATATTCTTTTGCTAGATTCCCTACTTCATGATACCTGAAGACAGTAATGTCCCAGAGCTGAGTCTTTGGAGTAATTATGTATCCTCTCTCAGGATGGTATCCAGATATATAACTTTTAAAATATCTATATGGTAATGACCTGCAAATTTAAATGTGCAGTTCAAACCACAGACTGTATACACCATTTGTCTCCTGTGTTTTCCCTTTGTGTGTGTGTGTGTGTGTGTGTGTTTTACTGGGATTGTACCACAGAGCTACATCCTCAGTCCTTTTGATTGTCTATTTTTGAGACAGATTTTTACTAAGTTGCCCAGGTTGGCCTTGAACTTGCCTTAGTCTCCAGAGTACAGTATATAGGCTTACACCCCTGTATCCAGCTTCATTACCCTTATTGATGTTTTGTGTACATACTGAAGTTTACATGCTCAAAATCAAGATTTTTTGTTGGTTGGTTGGGGATTGAACCCAGGGTCACTTGAACACTGAGCCACATCCACAGTCCTGTTTTATATTTTATTTAGAGACAGGATCTGTCTAAGTTGTATAGGGCCTTACTAAGTTGCTGAGGTTGGCTTTGAACTCACCATCCTCCTGCCTCAGCCTCCTGAGCCTCTGGGATTACAGGTGTGTGCTACCATACTGGGCAAAAATCAAGTTCTTTCTTTTTATCCCTCACCAAGCATTCTCCTTTCTATTTGCACAGATTTACAAGAAACTATTGGCATCAAATCAATATTGGCATCAGATTCACCATTTTAGGTCAGGAGTCATTTTATCTAGAGGTTCCAAAGTTTTGGTTCTGAGGCAAAGCTGCTTAACTTCCCAAAGAACACATGCCTGCTATCAGCCCCATCCCAGCTTAAACTCCTAAGCAGCTTATGATATTCCTCTTGCAGGCTATAAAGCTGCTCTGTGAGTGCGGGCAGGCCACTGCTGTCCTTGGAGGGACAGCCTTTTCCGTATGCCTCCTGTGACTGACAATAAATCTCTTGAGTGATGCTCCAGTGTGTGGCGTGGTCCTTGGACTTTGCGTGGACTCTGCGAATGTCCTTTCAGAAACACTATCTTTTAACCAGTGGCAAGGTCAAAACTTTGGAGTTATCATTGTTTCCACTCTTTCCTTCATTGCTTGTGTGCAATCCATTCACAAACCTTCTACTTCCAATGTATTTAAACTACATCTTGAATCTAGGAACACTATTCCTCTCCTCCATCACAACCACCATGGCTCAATTCACTGTCACTTCTCTCCTCACTGGTCTCTCTCTGCTTAGACTCTTGTCCAGACAACCTGTTTCCCATACTTCAGAGATCCTTAACAATGGAAATCAGAACAAATAGTGATTAAGAGCAAGACTCTGAAGGCAGACTGCCTGAGTCCAATTTCAAATTCTGAAACATATTAACATAACATTATCAAGTTACTTAACTTTGTTTTGCTTCAGTTTCATCCTTTGTAAAATGGAAATAATGATATCTTTACCGTAGTGCTCTTTTAAAATTTAATAAGCTTATGTCAGTAAAACGCTTGGAACACCTATAAACCTATGGCACATATAAAGGGCATGTAAACATTCCTCATTATTTTTATAAGAAATAGTACATCGTACCCTGCTTTCAAATATTCAGTGATTTCTTCTCATGATGAGGTAAGTTTTCAGAGTCCTTACTGTGGCGTAAGGGGCTTCCATGATCCAGCACTAGCTATTCCTGTAGACCTCTGATTGTGTGCTCCTTGCTGTGGTCCAAACACACTCACATGCTCTCATCCCTGGCTTTTGTACTTGGTGTTCCCTTTTC